ACAATGAATAAAAACACTTTAGTTTTCATGTTGTTGTTTGTCATATGTTGTTGTTGCCTGCTCTTAAATATAAAGTGCAACATAAAACTCATACAAAGACATTTCTACAATTTGTATTTGTTACAATTAATGAGTATTTCCGTTTCCTATAAGGAGAGGTAAGTTTACGACTTTACAGATATGGTTACATACAAAGTACTTGTGTTACAGCCACAAACAATCTTAAGATATATTTACCCTGCAGTTCGGGGTGGCTATAAACTAACAACTGACTACATTTCAAAATCAGCCGTATGATATATTCTTGAAAAATTGTTGGGTAATCCTGCAAATGTTTGGTTTAGTACATAGTTTAAATCTGTGTGCGTGTGGTCTTTTGTCATTAACATAACAGCTGTTAGCTAGTGTTTTTGTTGTTGCTATTCCCTTTTTGGTTAGTGGTATTGTATTTGTTATTGCTGTTGTTATTATGGCTGTTATTATTTGTAACACATGTTGTGGCTTTCAAACTTTAAATCTTTTGCTGCATTTACAATGTAATGGAGTATGGTGGTCTGTTCATATTTCTGGACAATTGTTTGCCCATTTTATTGTGTACTCCTTCTTTTCAAAAAAGTTTTATTTTAATTACACCCTTTTTAAAAGGGGCTAAAGTCAAATCCTTTATTTCATCCCCCATTTATTTTGGAAGTTATTAATAAAAGTAAGCACAACTATAACTGAAAAGAACAGAATTGGAAACAGACCAGATCTAGATCAGAACTAGGATAGAATTAGAACACAACCTACAACAGAACTAGAACAGAACTAGAACAGAACTAGAACAGAACTAGAACAGAATAGAACAGAACTAGAACAGAACTAGAACAGAACTAGAACAGAACTAGAACAGAACTAGAACAGAACTAGAACAAAACTAGAACAGAACTAGAACTAGAACAGAACTAGAACAGAACTAGAACTGAACTAGAACAGAACTAGAACAGAACTAGAACAGAACTAGAACAGAACTAGAACAGAACTAGAACAGAACTAGAACAGAACTAGAACAGAAAGAACAGAACTAGAACAGAACTAGAACAGAACTAGAACAGAACTAGAACAGAACTAGAACAGAACTAGAACAGAACTAGAACAGAACTAGAACAGAACTAGAACAGAACTAGAACAGAACTAGAACAGAACTAGAACAGAATTAGAACAGAACTAGAACAGAACTAGAACAGAATTAGAACAGAACTAGAACAGAATTAGAACAGAACTAGACAGAACTAGAACAGAACTAGAACAGAACTAGAACAGAACTAGAACAGAACTAGAACAGAACTAGAACAGAACTAGAACAGAACTAGAACAGAACTAGAACAGAACTAGAACAGAACTAGAACAGAACTAGAACAGAACTAGAACAGAACTAGAACAGAACTAGAACAGAACTAGAACAGAACTAGAACAGAACTAGAACAGAACTAGAACAGAACATGAACAGAACATGAACAGAACTAGAACAGAACAGAAGAGAACAAAACTTGAACAGAACCGAACAGAACTAGAACAGAACTAGAACAGAATTAGAACAGAACTAGAACAGACAGAACAAAACTAGAACAGAACTAGAACAGAACTAGAACAGAACAAGAACAGAACTAGAACAGAACTAGACAGAACTAGAACAGAACTAGAACAGAACTAGACAGAACTAGAACAGAACTAGAACAGAACTAGAACAGAACTAGAACAGAACTAGAACAGAACTAGAACAGAACTAGAACAGACTAGAACAGAACAAGAACAGAACTAGAACAGAACTAGAACAGAACTAGAACAGAACTAGAACAGAACTAGAACAGAACTAGAACAGAACTAGAACAGAACTAGACAAACTAGAACAGAACTATAACTGAACTAGAACTAGAACTGAACTAGAACTGAACTAGAACTGAACTAGAACTGAACTAGAACTGAACTAGAACTGAACTAGAAATGAATAGAACTAAACAAGAAGTGTAGTAGACCCAATGTCGAACTGAAAATAGACAAAGCTAGAATTTATATAAAAAATTTCTTTCAAATTTAATCATTAACATTTTATTCCTTTTTCTAATGTTTTCGCATCATTATTTTTATCCTTTTCATTATCAAATTGCATATGGCAAGCATAAAGGAACAAACAAAAACCCTTGAAATTTTAAAAAAATAATAAAAATAATAATAGACCAGAAAAAATCTATATTAAATTCATTTTATACTTAAAAAACTTGTACAAAGTATCATTCATATTTCAACACTTTTATTATAACCACAAATGACACACTGAAAGCCAGAACGACAGACAGAAGGAACAAAAAGTATGAGTGACAACTCCAACTGTGAGTTTATTATAAAACGACTCATTTTATCAGTTAGATAGAAATAGCATTCTCATTATCATAACCATCAACACTATTAAAGAGTATCATCATCCTCATAATTTTCTCAGTTTTTTATTTTGTTTCTTTTTTGCTTTGAAAAATGTTTTTAATATTGTAGTAATAAAGAAAATTACAACACTATGATTTTCTTTATTTTTTTTTCGTGTCTGTTGTTTTTTTTTATTATTATTCTTTTTAATATTTCAGATACATTCATACATTTACTTACTACGAGTAGTTTTCTTTATAATCGGATTATAAATGATCAGAAAATGATGATAAAATGCAGACGAAAACCAACCACAATAATAAAAAATTCATTCGTTCTTACTTAAATAATTGCATTTCCGTTTCCATGGAGAAATTTAATAAGAGATGAGCGTGTAACTTTAAATTTACTAGTGGGCATGTAATTCTTTAAGTTTTAGTTAAGTGAAAATTAGCAAAAACTTTTTATATAAATTTAATGAAAAAGAACTTTTTCGTTCGGTTTTAGTTATGTACTAGTTCAGTTCTTGTTCAGTTATAGTTCTGTTCGTTCAGTTCTAGTTCAGTTCTAGTTCAGTTCTAGTTCAGTTCTAGTTCTGTTCTAGTTCAGTTCTATTTCAGTTTATTTCAGTTCTAGTTCAGTTCTAGTTCAGTTCTAGTTCAGTTCTAGTTCAGTTCTGTTCTAGTTCTGTTCTAGTTCTGTTCTAGTTCTGTTCTAGTTCTGTTCTAGTTCTGTTCTAGTTCTGTTCTAGTTCTGTTCTAGTTCTGTTCTAGTTCTGTTCTAGTTCTGTTCTAGTTCAGTTCTAGTTCAGTTCTAGTTCTGTTCTAGTTCTGTTCTAGTTCTGTTCTAGTTCTGTTCTAGTTCTGTTCTAGTTCTGTTCTAGTTCTGTTCTAGTTCTGTTCTAGTTCTGTTCTAGTTCTGTTCTAGTTCTGTTCTAGTTCTGTTCTAGTTCTGTTCTAGTTCTGTTCTAGTTCTGTTCTAGTTCTGTTCTAGTTCTGTCTGTTCTGTTCTGTTCTTGTTCTTGTTCTTGTTTGTTCTAGTTCTGTTCTAGTTCTGTTTGTTCTGTTCTAGTTCTGTTCTAGTTCTGTTCTAGTTCTGTTCTAGTTCTGTTCTAGTTCTGTTCTAGTTCTGTTCTAGTTCTGTTCTAGTTCTGTTCTAGTTCTGTTCTAGTTCTGTTCTAGTTCGTTCTAGTTCTGTTCAAGTTCTGTTCTAGTTCTGTTCTAGTTCTGTTCTAGTTCTGTTCTAGTTCTGTTCTAGTTCTGTTCTAGTTCTGTTCTAGTTCTGTTCTAGTTCTGTTCTAGTTCTGTTCTAGTTCTGTTCTAGTTCTAGTTCTAGTTCTAGTTCTGTTCTAGTTCTAGTTCTGTTCTAGTTCTGTTCTAGTTCTGTTCTAGTTTGTTCTAGTTGTGTTCTAGTTCTTTTCTAGTTCTGTTCTAGTTCTGTTCTAGTTCTGTTCTAGTTCTGTTCTAGTTCTGTTCTAGTTCTGTTCTAGTTCTGTTCTAGTTCTGTTCTAGTTCTGTTCTAGTTCTGTTCTAGTTATGTTCTAGTTATGTTCTAGTTATGTTCTAGTTCTGTTCTAGTTCTGTTCTAGTTCTGTTCTAGTTCTGTTCTAGTTCTGTTCTAGTTCTGTTCTAGTTCTGTTCTAGTTCTGTTCTAGTTCTAGTTCTGTTCTAGTTCTGTTCTAGTTGTGTTCTAGTTCTTTCTAGTTCTTTTCTAGTTCTGTTCTAGTTCTGTTCTAGTTTCTGTTCTAGTTCTGTTCTAGTTCTGTTCTAGTTCTGTTCTAGTTCTGTTATAGTTCTGTTCTAGTTCTGTTCTAGTTCTGTTCTAGTTCTGTTCTAGTTCTGTTCTAGTTCTGTTCTAGTTCTGTTTCTAGTTATGTTCTAGTTATGTTCTAGTTATGTTCTAGTTCTGTTTAGTTCTGTTCTAGTTTTTTCTAGTTCTGTTCTAGTTCTATTATAGTTCTGTTATAGTTCTGCTCTAGTCCAGAACTGTTCTATTTCAGTTCTAGTTAAGTTGTAGGCCAGTTCTAGTTTAGTTCTAGTTCAGTTCTTTTAAATTGTTTCTAGTTTCTTCTCTGTTCCATCGATTTAGTGCAATTCTTGATATTTTGAAAATATAATAAAAAGTTATCGTTTGTCAAATTTTAATCTTCTTGCAATAATATTTAAATTTTATATTGATTTAGATTTCAAGTCAATCATTTCATTTTCAATCAATGAAGTTTGTAAACAAACAACAATTTTTGCTGCAATTTCAAAGGAAACTATGAAGAGTTTCCTGAGGCGTTTTGTGGTGGTTGTATTTATAGTTTTATTGTTCATTCTCAGCGGTTGTTTGTGTGCGTCTTTGCAGGATAGAAATTTAATATTGAGTTAAGAATTTATGTATTGAAGTATTAGGGAGTTTAAAAAAAAAAAAAAAAAAAAAAAAAACACTCATTTTCGAAGAGATTGGTAATATAAGCGGGACTATGTAGAGGGTTGTTAAGAGTAATTGATTATTTCTGCTGATAAGTGATGAAAAGTAGGCAGGCTAGTGTGATTGAATGTTTTTAAAAGACAGTCTTGGAAACTCTGTTTTAGTTCAATTTGACTATTTTTATTTTATTTTCAAAATGTCAAAACGGTTCTATTTTTAACAATAATATGGAAAATATAGCTGAGAATGGGTTTTAGCTTTTTAATGTGTTTGCGTGCCAGAGCTCAACAACGTGAAAGCTCTGCAATGTCCCGAGGAGTATTTAAAAGCTTAAAGATACCACTTGTAAGAATATTTGTCTGAACATTATCTGGAAGCAAATTAAGAAATCATAAATCTATTTCAGTAAAACCCGGACAAATTAGTCATCTTTATAAATGTTTTTGTAATTGGCTAAAGATTCTTCCGAATACGCTCCCGTATATTTAAAGAAAAGCTCTTTTCTGGCCCTAACCAGTTTGCAACGTAATCCCATATTATCGATTCTATTAACCTCCATGTTTGGTGATAAAAAAGCGAATAAAATTATAGATTTTGCTAAATATCTAAGCAATTTTCAAGCTTTCAGTTCATCCCTAAAACCCGAGCAAATTAACGAAATTAAACAAAGGAAATTGAAAAGTTGGTAATCCAGAGTTAAGCTAAGTTTATAATATTTAAACTTCTTCCCTTTGTAGTTCTATTCAACATGTATGATCATGATAAGAATGGCATTATTAGTGAGGAAGATTTAATCTTTGTGGTGCATAAATTATTTTCGGATATTTGGACTACACAACAGATCATGAATGTGGCCTCTATGATGATTTTCGAAATGGATAGTTCTAAACACTAATCAAATTTTATTCAATGATTTTTGTACCGCTTTCGAAATTTTGATATGGAAGAATATTTGATAACCAAAATACCCAGTGGAGGAGGAAGAATTTAGAACGATTAACCGTTTTTTTTTTTTTTTAATAAAATTTACTTTCTTATTACATTTCTTTTCGTTTTTCACTTTATAAAACCTTTAATCTCTCCAAAATACCCAAAACATTAGAAACTGAATGCAGAATAGGTATCAAAGTATGTAGTAATTGTATTATAGGATCCAAAGTCCGCTTGACCTCCTTCAAATGGAAAACCAATTGTAAAATAGAGTTTACATCAGCGCCCAAAAGTTTATTCGATAGTCCAGAAACTAAATTGTTAGCCTCACAAACCGGTGCATTTAATATGGTAGCCAGCAAAAGCTAAAGAATATAAATTTGAAATTTGATCTTAAATATTAGTATTCGACTTACATTTAAAGCCACTACTGTGATTGCAATTGCTACACATTTTCTAACCCGTTGTATAAAACATTTTGTCTGGTAAATGAACTTGTTTTTATAAGGAAATGTTTGGTTTTAAACTGAAATTCTTAAATTTATATAGAATATTTAATAATGTTGTTATTGTTGCATTTTGCAGTTTTAACACGATTTCTATTAAACTTTTTAATGGGTTATTTTGTTAAGAAAGTCATAAAATAAAATATGTATTAAGAAAAATATGAGGGAAAGAACACTATGAAACACACTTCAAAATAAAAGTCTTTTTAATAATCGATTTAAGTATTTGAATGGGAACTTAAAAACCGCTTCGTAGGACCATATTATACATTTAATAGTTATAAAGTTAATGGTTTGATGTACTAGACTATAGACTAGTCTATAGACTAGACTAGACCATAGACTAGACTATAGACTAGACTATAGAGTAGACTATAGACTAGACTATAGACTAGACTATAGACTAGACTATAGACTAGACTATAGACTAGACTATAGACTAGACTATAGACTAGACTATAGACTAGACTATAGACTAGACTAGACTATAGACTAGACTAGACTGATAGACTATACACTAGACTATAGACTAGACTATAGACTAGACTGTAGACTAGACTATAGACTAGACTATAGACTAGACTATAGACTAGACTATAGACTAAACTATAGACTAGACTATAGACTAGACTATAGACTAAACTATAGACTAGACTATAGACTAGACTAGACTATAGACTAAAACTATAGACTAGACTATAGACTAGACTATAGATAGACTAGACTATAGACTAGACTATAGACTAGACTATAGACTAGACTATAGACTAGACTATAGACTAGACTATAGACTAGACTATAGACGAGACTATAGACTAGACTATAGACTAGACTATAGACTAGACTATAGACTAGACTATAGACTAGACTATAGACTAGACTATAGACTAGACTATAGACTAGACTATAGACTAGACTATAGACTAGACTATAGACTAGACTATAGACTAGACTATAGACTAGACTATAGACTAACTAGACTATAGACTAGACTATAGACTAGACTATAGACTAGACTATAGACTAGACTATGACTAGACTATAGACTAGATATAGACTAGACTATAGACTAGACTAAGACTAGACTATAGACTAGACTATAGACTAGATAGACTATATAGACTAGACTATAGACTAGACTAGACTAGACTATAGACTAGACTATAGACTGACTATAGACTAGACTATAGACTAGACTATAGACTAGACTATAGACTAGACTATAGACTAGACTATAGACTAGACTATAGACTAGACTATAGACTAGACTATAGACTAGACTATAGACTAGACTATAGACTAGACTATAGACTAGACTATAGACTAGACTATAGACTATAGACTAGACTATAGATAGACTATAGACTAGACTATAGACTAGACTATAGACTAGACTATAGACTAGACTATAGACTAGACTATAGACTAGACTATAGACTAGACTATAGACTAGACTATAGACTAGACTATAGACTAGACTATAGACTAGACTATAGACTAGACTATAGACTAGACTATAGACTAGACTATAGACTAGACTATAGACTAGACTATAGACTAGACTATAGACTAGACTATAGACTAGACTATAGACTAGACTATAGACTAGACTATAGACTAGACTATAAGACTATAGACTAGACTATAGACTAGACTATAGACTAGACTATAGACTAGACTATAGACTAGACTATAGACTAGACTATAGACTAGACTATAGACTAGACTATAGACTAGACTATAGACTAGACTATAGACTAGACTATAGACTAGACTATAGACTAGTCTATAGACTAGACTATAGACTAGACTATAGACTAGACTATAGACTAGACTATAGACTAGACTACTAGACTATAGACTATAGACTAGACTATAGACTAGACTATAGACTAGACTATAGACTAGACTATAGACTAGACTATAGACTAGACTATAGACTAGACTATAGACTAGACTATAGACTAGACTATAGACTAGACTATAGACTAGACTATAGACTAGACTATAGACTAGACTATAGACTAGACTATAGACTAGACTATAGACTAGACTATAGACTAGACTATGACTAGACTATAGACTAGACTATAGACTAGACTATAGACTAGACTATAGACTAGACTATAGACTAGACTATAGACTAGACTATAGACTAGACTATAGACTAGACTATAGACTAGACTATAGACTAGACTATAGACTAGACTATAGACTAGACTATAGACTAGACTAGACTAGACTAGACTATAGACTAGACTATAGACTAGACTATAGACTAGACTATAGACTAGACTATAGACTAGACTATAGACTAGACTATAGACTAGACTATAGACTAGACTATAGACTAGACTATATACTAGACTATAGACTAGACTATAGACTAGACTATAGACTAGACTATAGACTAGACGATTATTAAGTTAACAATGGTTATTAAAACCTGTTTTTATATGGAAAAATTGTGTGACTAGACTATAGACTAGACTATAGACTAGACTATAGACTAGACTATAGACTAGACTATAGACTAGACTATAGACTAGACTATAGACTATATGACTAGACTAGGATATAGACTAGACTATAGACTAGACTATAGACTAGACTATAGACTAGACTATAGACTCTATAGACTAGACTATAGACTAGGCTATAGACTAGACTATAGACTAGACTAGACTAGACTATAGACTAGACTATAGACTAGACTATAGACTAGACTATAGACTAGACATAGACTAGACTAGAGACTAGACTATAGACTAGACTATAGACTAGACTATAGACTAGACTATAGACTAGACTATAGACTAGACTATAGACTAGACTATAGACTAGACTATAGACTAGACTATAGACTAGACTATAGACTAGACTATAGACTAGACTATAGACTAGACTATAGACTAGACTATAGACTAGACATAGACTATAGACTAGACTAGACTACACTATAGACTAGACTATAGAATAGATTATAGACTAGACTATAGACTAGACTATATACTAGACTATAGACTAGACTATAGACTAGACTATAGACTAGACTATAGACTAGACTATAGACTAGACTATAGACTAGACTATACTAGACTATAGACTAGACTATAGACTAGACTATAGACTAGACAATAGACTATAGACTAGACTAGACTACATATAGACTAGACTATAGAATAGATTATAGACTAGACTATAGACTAAACTATAGACTAGGACTATAGACTAAACTATAGACTAGACTATTATACCTAGACTATAGACTAGACTATAGACTAGACTATAGGACTAGACTATAGACTAGACTATAGACTAGACTATAGACTAGACAATAGACTATAGACTAGACTAGACTACACTATAGACTAGACTATAGAATAGACTATAGACTAGACTATAGACTAGACTATAGACTTAGATATAGACTAGACTATAGACTAGACTATAGACTAGACTATAGACTAGACTATAGACTAGACTATAGACTAGACTATAGACTAGACTATAGACTAGGACTTAGACTAGACTATAGACTAGATACTAGACTAGGACTATAGACTAGACTATAGACTAGACAATAGACTATAGACTAGACTAGACTACACTATAGACTAGACTATAGAATAGATTATAGACTAGACTATAGACTACACTATAGACTAGACTATAGAATAGATTATAGACTAGACTATAGACTAAACTATAGACTAGACTATAGACTAAACTATAGACTAGACTATATACTAGACTATAGACTAGACTATAGACTAGACTATAGACTAGACTATAGACTAGACTATAGACTAGACTATAGACTAGACTATAGACTAGACTATAGACTAGACTATAGACTAGACTATAGACTAGACTATAGACTAGACTATAGACTAGACTATAGACTAGACTATAGACTAGACAATAGACTATAGACTAGACTAGACTACAATATAGACTAGACTATAGAATAGACTATAGACTAGACTATAGACTAGACTATAGACTAGACTATAGACTAGACTATAGACTAGACTATAGACTAGACTATAGACTAGACTATAGACTAGACTATAGACTAGACTATAGACTAGACTATAGACTAGACTATAGACGACTATAGACTAGACTATAGACTAGACTATAGACTAGACTATAGACTAGACTATAGACTAGACTATAGACTAGACTATAGACTAGACTATAGACTAGACTAGACTAGACATACTAGACTAGACTAGACTACACTATAGACTAGACTATAGAATAGATTATAGACTAGACTATAGACTAAACTATAGACTAGACTATAGACTAAACTATAGACTAGACTATATACTAGACTAGACGATTATTAAGTTAACAATGGTTATTAAAACCTGTTTTTATATGGAAAAATTGTGTAGTAAACCATTGATAACTTTAATAAAGTTTTTGCATAAGGCAGTATATACATATACTCTGAATTTTGTATATAATTTCTATTATAATTAATTTTCTAATTTCTATCTTATTTCTTCTACTTGCAGGTAAGCGAAGACAGAAATTTCTTTAAATTTTTAATTGTAAGTAAACTTTTTTAGATTATAACATATTTTGATAAAGTTTCATGTTAAATTTTTAAACTGATCCCCTTCTATACGTATCGGTGTGAAAACAATTAACCAATATCAAACCAACTGAAATGTTTCTCTGCAAAAATAGCGATAGTTATTTTTGTTCATGGTTCATATATTTGTCTATGATGAACTGTGTGTATGCGTAAGTGTACCGTAATAAAGTTTAACACTAATGTTATGTTGACAATTAGCCGATTTTGACATATCAATTTGACATTTTTTTCCAAAACTGTCACTGGTAATTGAACATGAAAGTGTCATTAATGTGGAGGTTTTTGATTATAAAGCAAAAAATTGGGAAATTACTTAATTGAAAAGAGAATTAAAATTATGAAAAAATATAAAATTTAAAAGCTTAAAGCTTTTTTAAATCAAAAGCTTTTTAATATTAAAGTTTTTGTTTAACGCTAACGTTTCTATTAGAACTTTTTTGAAAATTTTTTGGAAATAATTAGAAAAAAATTCTTCATACTGATTCTTTGCATAAAAGCTATATAAAAAGCTATTAAATTTTTATAATTGATTATTATATTGTTAGTTTTTAAATAACAACTACATAATGTTTAATCATTAAATTTTTAATTACTATAGACATAATTATTTAAAAATAACTTAATCTACTGAAACAATCATCAACATTTTGTAAACAATATTATTTTGTTAGAATCAAATTTAGTTAATTTCAAAACATGTACGCGTCTATAACACTCCTAATTTCCGGCTCCCTAGTTTTTATATTTCTAACTTCACCTTCATTTAGTTTAAAATCACAAAGTTTTACATTTTCCAAAGTTGAATGTTTCGAACAGGATAAAGAATTTTTGGAAATTAAAGAATGTTATCTGAAAACTACGGAACATAATAACAAAGCCATTAGTTTGTATATGGATATTAAAAATAAAACTTTCAATGAAATCAAGGTAAAGTTTTGACTGAACTTTTTAAAGCAGAAACTTTATAAACTATTAAAATTTTCAGATTCATGGTCAATTGCTGCAAAAATTTCGTAATAATTATCGCCCATTTCTTTATAATGATGTTTTCGATTGGTGTGATTTTATGAATAATCAAAGGCCCCATATTCTATGGAATTTTATTTATGAAACTACTAAAAAATATTCCAATTTAAATCATACATGTCCTTTGAATGTAAGGCTCTAATATTAGTTATTTTAATAGTTTGACAATATTTCTTCTTTTTAGCATGATGTGATTATCAAAGATTTCATTGTCGATGATAAAATCTTTAAAATTATACCCTTTGCCCGAGGTGAATATCTGGTGGTATTGAAAGTTAGCACCGAAAATATTCTAAGGTCAATACTGAAGACTTATTTTAAAAGGTCGTGATTTAAAATAAATAGTTTTTTTATCCTGAAGAGGATCAACTTGGGAAATGTTTTTAATATATTAAAATGCCACTATTCATGGTAATTAGGATTATATTTAGAGCTATTATATTTCTAGTTCAGTTCTAGTTGCGTTTAAGTACCGTTCTAGTTCAGTTCTAGTTCTATTCAACCGCAGTTCTAATTCAGTTCTAGATTAGTTCTAGTTTATTTCTAGTTTAGTCCTAGCTTAGTACTAGTTAGTTCTAGTTTAGTTCTAGTTTAATTCTAGTTTAGTTCTAGCTCTGTTCTAGTTCTGTTCTATTTCTGTCCTAGTTCTGTATTAGTTCTGTTCAAGTTCAGTTCTACTCTGTTGTAGTTCTGCTCCTGTTCAAGTTCTAGTTCTGTTCAAGTTCTAGTTCTGTTATGGTTCTGTTCTAGTTCTGTTCTAGTTCTGTTCTAGTTCTGTTCTAGTTCTGTTCTAGTTCTGTTCTAGTTCTGTTCTAGTTCTGTTCTAGTTCTGTTCTAGTTCTGTTCTAGTTCTGTTCTAGTTCTGTTCTAGTTCTGTTCTAGTTCTGTTCTAGTTCTGTTCTAGTTTTGTTCAAGTTCTGCTCTAGTCTGTTCTAGTTCTGTTCAAGTTCTGCTCTAGTTCTGTTCTAGTTCTGATATAGTTCTGTTCTATTTCTGTTCTAGTTCTGTTCTAGTTCTGTTCTAGTTCTGTTCTAGTTCTGTTCTAGTTCTGTTCTAGTTCTGTTCTAGTTCTGTTCTAGTTCTGTTCTAGTTCTGTTCTAGTTCTGTTCTAGTTCTTTTCTAGTTCTGTCCTAGTCTGTTCTGTTCTAGTTCTGTTCTAGTTCTGTTCTAGTTCTGTTCTAGTTCTGTTCTAGTTCTGTTCTAGTTCTGTTCTAGTTCTGTTCTAGTTCTGTTCTAGTTCTGTTCTAGTTCTGTTCTAGTTCTGTTCTAGTTCTGTTCTAGTTCTGTTCTAGTTCTGTTCTAGTTCTGTTCTAGTTCTGTTCTAGTTCTGTTCTAGTTCTGTTCTAGTTCTGTTCTAGTTCTGTTCTAGTTCTGTTCTAGTTCTGTTCTAGTTCTGTTCTAGTTCTGTTCTAGTTCTGTTCTAGTTCTGTTCTAGTTCTGTTCTATTTCTGTTCTAGTTCTGTTCTAGTTCTGTTCTAGTTCTGTTCTAGTTCTGTTGTAGTTCTGTTCTAGTTCTGTTCTAGTTCTGTTCTAGTTCTGTTCTAGTTCTGTTCAGTTCTGTTCTAGTTCTGTTCTAGTTCTGTTCCAGTTCTGTTCTAGTTCTGTTCTAGTTCTGTTCTAGTTCTGTTCTAGTTATGTTCTAGTTCTGTTCTAGTTCTGATCTAGTTCTGTTCTAGTTCTGTTCTTGTTCTGTTCTAGTTCTGTTCTAGTTCTGTTCTAGTTCTGTTCTAGTTCTGTTCTAGTTCTGTTCTGGTTCTGCTCTAGTTCTGTTCTAGTTCTGTTCTAGTTCTGTTCTAGTTCTGTTCTAGATCTGTTCTAGATCTGTTCTAGTTCTGTTCTAGTTCTGGTTCAGTTCTAATTCAGTTCTAGTTCGGTTCTAGTTCAGTTCTAATTCAGTTCTAGTTCAATTCTAGTTCTATTCGACTGTAGTTCCAATTCTAGTTCTGTTTGTATTAGTTCTGTTCTATTTCTGTCCTAGTTCTGTTCCAGTTAAGTTCTACTCTAGTTCTTGATCTGTTCTGCTCTGTTGAAGTTCTGTTCTAGTTTTGTTCTAGTTCTGTTCAGTTCTAGTTCAGTTATAGTTCGGTTCTAGTTTAGTTCTAGTTCAGTTCTAGTTCAGTTCTAGTTCAGTTCTAGTTCAGTTCTAGTTCAGTTCTAGTTCAGTTCTAGTTCAGTTCTAGTTCAGTTCTAGTTCAGTTCTAGTTCAGTTCTAGTTCAGTTCTAGTTCAGTTCTAGTTCAGTTCTAGTTCAGTTCTAGTTCAGTTCTATTTCAGTTCTAGCTCAGTTCTAGTTAAGTTCTAGTTCAGTTCTAGTTCAGTTCTAGTTCAGTTCTAGTTCAGTTCTAGTTCAGTTCTAGTTCAGTTCTAGTTCAGTTCTAGTTCAGTTCTAGTTCAGTTCTAGTTCAGTTCTAGTTCAGTTCTAGTTCAGTTCTAGTACAGTTCTAGTTCAGTTCTAGTTCAGTTCTAGTTCAGTTCTAGTTCAGTTCTAGTTCAGTTCTAGTTCAGTTCTAGTTCAGTTCTAGTTCAGTTCTAGTTCAGTTCTAGTTCAGTTCTATTTCAGTTCTAGTTCAGTTCTAGTTCAGTTATAGTTCAGTTCTAGTTCTATTCGACTGCAGTTCCAATTCAGTTCTAGTTCTGTTTGTACTAGTTCTGTTCTATTTCTGTCCTAGTTCTGTTCCAGTTAAGTTCTACCCTAGTTCTTGATCTGTTCTGCTCTGTTGAAGTTCTGTTCTAGTTCTGTTCTAGTCCTGTTCTAGTTCTTTTCTAGTTCTAGTTCTGTTCTAGTTCTGTTCTAGTTTTGTTCTAGTTCTGTTCTAGTTCTGTCCTAGTTCTGATCCAGTTCTTTACTAGTTCTGTTCTAGCTTCGTTCTATTTCAGTTTTAGTTCACTTCATGTCTCCTTGTAACACATTATAATCGTTAAATTTTTACTTGGATTTTAACACATTTCTACTTTAAGAGTTTCCTTTTTCAACAGGGTATTTTCTCTCAAAGCTAATAAACAATTACCTTTAATTCCTTTATTCCAAAAATGTTTTCCATTGAAATAATTATTCAAAAATTCCTGAAACAAAGCAAGAGTCATTTAATCCACATATGGTGCGTGATTTTTAATGAATCCTCATCCTTATCCCCAAAAAATGAAAACAACCGAAAATTCCCAAAAATATCTTGTTAAAACAAAACAATTTTTATGTAGATTGTTTATGACAATTAAGATGACAAATGTCAAATACACGTGCAAATAAACGTTTCTTATTAATTCTTTATACACAGCTAAACTGTTTAAATATTTGCCGTTTTTTTTTTTAAAGAACAAAATAAAAAGATATAAATGCAAATGTTGTAGAGATTTCATAAGTCAAACGTAATTGTGTTTAAATTTTTTTTATGGGCCTTGAGACGACAAGTCAACGACAAGAACAAAATTAATTAATTATGAACAGAACATAAAATATTTATTTATTAGGTATTTTTAAATTTAATTTTATGGCAAATGGAAAAAAGGATGCTGCAGTAGTAAAGAAGCAGATTATAGTTAAATTTTAAGCAGGAGCTGAAAACTTGTAAACATTTGCATATAAAATAAGGCAGGATGTTGTTACAAATAAATTTTCATTGCTTTTGTTGCAAATTCATATGGTTTTAACTGTCGTTAGCTTATTAGTTGATTTAAAAATATATTTATTAAGGAGGCACATATCTATATATCGTTCTAAATAACCTTTGGTTGAAAATATAGTCGGTAGAGATACACATAGAACGCTATCTGGCCTGTTGTGCCCTCCTTCATATTCAAAATATTGTTGGGTATTATCGTGCAATGTTCAGAAACCCATTTGCTTGCACGTAGTTCCTTGCAAAGTTTCTATATCTTCTCCTCTCGTTAGGATCATACCAGATTCTCTCGTCCATGTTTCAGCTCTCGATCGAACGGTTTTGCATTCGTCAGGTTATGTTTTTCAATTTCCTTTCCCTTTATAAGAAGTTAATTTGTTCTTTTGTTGCCGATTATTTCCGATTGACCCTGGTAGCTTAATCTTTTAAATAATATTCAGTTCTAGTTCTGTTCTAGTTCTGCTCTAGTTCTGTTCTAGTTCTCTTCTATTTCTGTTCTAGTTCCGTTCTAGTTCTGTTCTAGTTCTGTTCTAGTTCCGTTCTATTCTATTTCTGTTCTAATTCTATTCTAGTTCTGTTCTAATTCTATTCTAGTGCTGTTCTAGTTCTGTTCTCTTTCTATTTTAGTTCTGTTCTAGTTCTATTGTAGTTCTGTTCTAGTTCTGTTCTAGTTCTGTTCTAGTTCTGCTCTAGTTCTGTTCTAGTTCTGTTCTAGTTCTGTTTTAGTTCTGTTCTAGTTCTGTTCTAGTTCTGTTCTAGTTTTGTTCTAGTTCTGTTCTAGTTCTGTTCTAGTTCTGTTGTAGTTCTGTTCTAGTTCTGTTCTAGTTCTGTTCTAGTTCTGTTCTAGTTCTGTTCTAGTTCTGTTGTAGTTCTGTTCTAGTTCTGTTCTAGTTCTGTTCTAGTTCTGTTCTAGTTCTGTTCTAGTTCTGTTTTAGTTCTGTTCTAGTTCTGTTCTAGTTCTGTTATAGTTCTGTTCTAGTTCTGTTCTAGTTCTGTTCTAGTTCTGTTCTATTTCTTTTCTAGTTCTGTTCTATTTCTTTCTAGTTCTGTTCTAGTTCTGTACTAGTTCTGTTCTAGTTCTGTTCTAGTTCTGTACTAGTTCTGTTCTAGTTGTCTTCTAGTTCTGTCTAGTTCTGTTCTAGTTCTGTTCTAATTCTGTTCTAGTTCTGTTCTAGTCTGTTCTAGTTCTGTTGTAGTTCTGTTGTAGTTCTGTTCTAGTTCTGTTCTAGTTCTGTTCTAGTTCTGTTCTAGTTCTGTTCTAGTTCTGTTCTAGTTCTGTTCTAGTTCTGTTCAGTTCTGTTGTAGTTCTGTTTCTAGTTCTGTTCTGTTCTGTTAGTTCTGTTTCTAGTTCTGTTGTAGTTCTGTTCTAGTTCTGTTCTAGTTCTGTTCTAGTTCTGTTCTAGTTCTGTTCTAGTTGTGTTCTAGTTGTTAGTTATGTTCTAGTTCTGTTCTAGTTCTGTTCTAGTTCTGTTAGTTCTGTTGTTCTAGTTCTGTTCTAGTTCTGTTCTAGTTCTGTTCTAGTTCTGTTCTAGTTCTGTTCTAGTTCTGTTGTAGTTCTGTTCTAGTTCTGTTCTAGTTCTGTTCTAGTTCTGTTCTAGTTCTGTTATAGTTCTGTTCTAGTTCTGTTCTAGTTCTGTTCTAGTTCTGTTCTAGTTCTG